TTTGTATGACAAAGTTAAATTTCCGAAGAAAAACCAGCCGAAAAATAAATTTGCAGCAAACTTCCTAAATTCCAACAAAAACGACGATTCGGAGCTGGAAAGATACTTAGCGCGTTTAGATAGCGAGAAAAACACGATTGTGATGTTTAGACCAACTTTGTAGTTAGCGAGAAAAACACGTTTGTGATGTTTAGACCAAGTTTGTATGACAATGTTAAATTTCCGAAGAGAAACCAGCTGAAAAATAAATTTGCACAAAGTTTCCTAAATTCTAACAAAAACGACGATTTGGAGCTGAGACGATACTTAGCACGTCTACTTAGCGAGAAAAACACGATTGATATGTTTGGCCAACTTTGTAGTTAGCGAGAAAAACACGTTTGTGATGTTTAGACCAAGTTTGTATGACAAAGTTAAATTTCTGAAGAGAAACCAGCTGAAAAATAAATTTGCACAAAATTTCCTAAATTCCAACAAAAACGACGATTTGGAGCTGAGACGATACTTAGCACGTTTACTTAGGGAGAAAAACACGATTGTGACGCTTGTCCAACTTTGTAGTTAGCGAGAAAAACACGTTTGTGATGTTTACACCAAGTTTGTATGACAAAGTTAAATTTCCGTAGAGAAACCAGGTGAAAAACAAATTTGCAGAAAACTTTCTAAATTCCAACAAAAATTACGATCTGGAGCTGAGACGATACTTAGCACGTTTACTTAGCGAGAAAAACACGATTGTGGTGTTTGGCCAAGTTTGTAGATAGCGAGAAAAACACGTTTGTGATGTTTAGACCAAGTTTGTATGACAAAGTTAAATTTCCGAAGAGAAACCAGCTGAAAAATAAATTTGCACAAAATTTCCTAAATTCTAACAAAAACGACGATTTGGAGCTGAGGCGATGCTTAGCACGTCTACTTAGCGAGAAAAACACGATTGATATGTTTGGTCAACTTTGTAGATAGCGAGAAAAACACGTTTGTAATGTTTAGACCAAGTTTGTATGACAAAGTTAAATTTCCGAAGAAAAACCAGCCGAAAAATAAATTTGCAGCAAACTTCCTAAATTCCAACAAAAACGACGATTCGGAGCTGAAAAGATACTTAGCACGTTTAGTTAGCAAGAAAAACACGTTTGTGATATTTAGACCAATTTTGTATGACAAAGTTAAATTTCTGAACAGGAACCAGCTGAAAAATAAATTTGCACAAAATCTCCTAAATTCCACCAAAAACGACGATTCGAAGCTGAAAAGATACTTAGCACGTTTACTTATCGAGAAAAACACGATTGTGACGCTTGGCCAACTTTGTAGTTAGCGAGAAAAACACGTTTGTGATGTTTAGACCAAGTTTGTATGACAAAGTTAAATTTCCGAA